ATGCGTCGCTAACCTATTATTTTATTTAGCTAATTAAACTAGAATAGTAATGGAAACACAAGTGACAGAAAGTTGGTCGTATTATTCTACTTTATTTTCAAAGCCCCCCCAGTGGCACAGCGGTATGTCTGCGGACTTACAACGCTAGAAACAGAGTTTCGATACCCGTGGTGGGCAGAGCACAGATAGCCCTTGCGTAGCTTTGTGCATAATTAAAAAACAAACAAACTTCTTTTCAAAAGCGCAAGACTCAAAGGTTTATAGTAATGCTTTATCTCTGCAGTAAACATGCAATACTCTACTACACATATAATACTGACGAGAGTGTCTGGCCAAGGATGATGAAAACGTAAACTTATAGTTGAAGAAGAAGACGTTACTGTGACAGTCACGACTCTTCTGTTCTACACAGTGACAAGGGATAATAGATGTAGTGACAGTCACGGCAACAAGCCATCAAGGTGCGCGCTAGTATATTGCCATTTTGTCGCCATTTACTGACGGTCAACCCATTCTTTATCTTGTTTCTAACAACCTTGTAGAAAATCACTCTGGGAGTTCTTCTCGCAAACAGCTAGTTTCCGTAATGTTTCCGTTCCACGTTTTCGTCATACCCTGGCATGGATTTGTTGTTTCCGTCTGTAACACTTAAAAGCAAAATGTATAAGCTGACGAAAACAGCACCGCAGTTGCATGAGAACATGAGCAAACTCTTGTATAGAAATGTAGAGACAGTCATAAAAATATATGTATCAGTTTCAATTTTAAGCTGTAAAAAAAGTGTATTTGTGTGTTTTTGGATTTAGTTTTAACCGTCTATATTGTTTTATTTGGTCGCTCTTTTTATCTTGAGTCAAGATTCTTGTAAGTTCTAAAATTCAAATTAATTTTATTATATATGAGATATATATATTATTTCAAGCCATTTCAGTTTATTTAAAACAATGTATGCCAAAATATAACGAAAACTTGGAGTCTAGTTATTTATGACAAGAGCCCCATGAATGTTTTTTTACGAAGAGCCCCAAGAGTGTTTTTACCAATTTCCAGAAACTATATAAATCAAAAGTATAGCACTGGGTCTCTAAACCATCATTAAATTCAGTCGTCAAAAGAAAGCATAAAAATATAAACCAAAAACTTCACTTTACCCATGATATATTTTATATAATACGGTCACTAACCAAACGCGCCATAAAGCATGTATGTATTGACTCACGTGTTCCTAAAAATTAGCTTACGTTTTCGGAACTCTTCAGAAAAGGTAGTTGCAGTTTTAAATGAAAAGCAGCATTTACAAATTGTAAGGCTAAACTTTTCTTTCTCTCTCTCTCTCTTAACTAACACTTTACAAACTCTACAGTTCGAGGTTTGTGATGACCACGGGATATAACTGGGTTCTGTAAAGTTGATAATGTTTATACAGTCAACTAAATCAGTCTGTGCGAGTATCTTCTACCAAAAATATTCATGAGAGTTTGATGTCCAGTGCCGTACAAAAACAAATGTCCTCTTTCCAAACTTTTGGCCTGGTGAGCGTATAAAATTCTATGAATTGTGTAATGTACATGTAAAACATAGCAACGCTACTTGGAAGTGTTTTCGAAATGAGGAACCTGCCTGGAGAACTGGTGGTTTAGACGCCGATTCGTTTCACTTGATTTTTCATCGAGTTTTTAGGTGGCAAATGGTTACAGTCTACATAATTAACTCCTTCTCGTGTTCATAAAAAAAAAACACCTGGTACTGTGTAGGATTTTGAAACTTGGTACTCTAGAGAGAGAGACAACACAACTTCAATCTTGTAATGTGTAAATGTTGCTTTTTCCCATTTATGGCTACAAACATTTTTCTTGAAATTTTCCAAAATTTAATGGGCTTTTCGTTTTAAAAAACAAACAAAACAAATATAGCACTTTTGGTCTAGGTGTGTCTCCCTCTCTCCAACACATGGCACAATGTAATTTAAATGTCTTCTCCATATATAAAGACACGTCGCTTATCTCATGACCCTCGTTAGCTCACGTGCATTTTGTGTAAATGACGTCAGTAAGCACTTCCTGTAAACATCAAAGCTCTCATAAGTAATCACTAAGAAGAAATTCGCGTCATTAGCTTTTAACGAAAATACAGCGTAGTTATGACTAAGGGTCCCCTCGCTACTCAACCACGCTGCAGTTACTTATGTAGCAATTATTGGGTAAACAAGTTAAAAGAGCATAATGTAAGCAAAGAGTGGCTGATATACGAACGTACCTGAGCTTGCCAGTCTACTGCTGGTTGGTCCAAATACTTGATACGGATCTGTAAAACAAAGTATTAGAATTTGTGAATGTGTGACACGTTTTAACGATATAATGTAGACACAAATATAACAACGTTCCAAAAATGACCACTTTGTTTACAGCAAGTGAATATGTATATATATATATAACAATAAGTTTTCTAGCTACTGTAAAAGGTCAACGTGAGAAGCTGCAATCTCACAGTTCTCGGTAGCTGTTTCATCACACTTTTCCATTTACTCTTTTTTTTTCCGGTCCTGTTCTATTTACTAGTAATATGTTTTAACACGTTTACTTTACGTTTCAAAATGGTTTACATTTATCAAACAATGAGTAAATACAGCACGTGACGAATTGTAATATACAATGTTTTCCCAGTTTTAAAATACATGCCAGAGAGAGAGTTGGACTATGGGAGCGCAAAACTCGCGCCCATTATATTTTTTAAGTGAAAATATATTTTTAAGATCCGAAACAAAGATTTATATTGTTTGTTGTTAAGTGCAAAGTTACACAATGGGCTGCCTATGCTCGAAGCCCGAGTTTTAGCATTATAAGCCCTCGGCTTACCGCTGAGCCACGCGGGGGGGGGGCCCTATTTATTGTGTAATTATTAATTTAGGATTTAATCTCAAATGTAATTTGTTTTTGTAAAACCCTTTCAAAGACAAAATTAAATTCGCTAAGGTTATCTTTTAAAATGCTTATGTTTATATTATCTTACATAAGACAGTTTTTATGTAAAAAAAACTAACTTATATTGAAACCAGTAAAAAAAAAAACACATTTAAACTAATATCATTCGTCAATTTAATATTTCGTAGTTTTCATAAGTGGTCCCATTATTGCTGTGCTTCAACTTCTGCTATATATGTGATATTTTGGCATTTTTTTCCAAAAGGCTTAGTTGAGTAATCCTCAAAACGGAAACATCAAAACCACCTGTGAAAATTAAAAGAAAATCAGAAAAATATCTTTGTGTTTGCTTTACAGATGGATATCAACATCGGAATATATTAAATCACCAACTGAGGGTGAAGCTGTGGCAGCAGATTTCGCCCTCAAGCGCTTACTCAAGAAAAGCCAAACTGCGAATCCAACTGCTGTGTTATGAATACAATTTTCCATCTTATTTTCGACTCTTCCCCGAAGTTTGAAAGGCTGCAGGTGGCACCTTTGAGGATCCTGAACGTAAGTATACAAACAGTACGTCATGACCTCACGAGATGAGTTTAGTACTCATCCGGCGAATGTCAATATTTCTACAGGTCTTCAAGTGACGACCGCTGTTGGCACATTAGTCGGTGACATTTACGATCATTCTATACCAACCGAAGTTATCGCCTATAAGATCGCACTGTCAGAATAACCAAATATTTCAAAATGAAAATATTATAGTCATGAATCCATACGATATATATTGTGTTGAATAAATTGAGTCAACATTATCATGGAAAATATGAACACTTAAAGATTAGCGCTGTATTATATTACCATGTAAAGTTGAACATGATGGAATCCTCAATAGCCACGGCACTTGAAATTATTTTAGGCAGGATTAGAGTAGATTAATCTATGAGATCTTTTTTTTTCCTTTTTATTAGCTATATTTTTGTGCGCCAGCAATTCCAAGCGTGGGGCGCGCGTATACCCGATTCGATTTTATTACTCAGCAGGACTCTACATGGCTACTCTAAAATTTAAATTCTTTAAGGCGGGATTTGAGTAAATTAATCTATGAGACCTTGGGCATGATCAAATATATCAATCGAAAGGGTTTGACCTCCTGAATCGAAAACTGTCATTAAATATCAAATCGGTCAAGATTGTTCTTAAAAAACTCAGAGCCGTTTCTGAGTTGCTATGTCGCGGATAAAAATCATGACTATATAACCCATTAAAATTTTAATTAAACAGCAAAAACGTGGACATTAACCTGTAAATGACCTAGTGGAAAAGTTAAACAGTGGCTGGTACAAATGGTATAAATGGCACAACAAATATCCTTAACGGATCTTTAACGTAACATTCTATATATCACAAAGAGTTATAATGAATCATGTGATACAACAAATACCATTCACGGATCTTTAACGTGACATTCTATATATCATAACGGATCTTTAACGTGACATCCTATATATCACAATGAGTTATAACGAACCATGTGATACAAAAACTATCCTTAACGGATCTTTAACGTAACATTCTATATATCACAATGAGTTATAATGAACCATGTGATACAACAAATATCCTTAACGGATCTTTAACGTAACATTCTATATATCACAATGAATGATAACGAATTATTTGATACAACAAATACCATTCACGGATCTTTAACGTGACATTCTATATATCACAATGAGTTATGACGAATTATTTGATACAATAAATACCCTTCACGGATCTTTAACGTGACATTCTATATATCACAATGAGTTGTAACAAATCATTGAACTCTAAAATATTTACTTAACTTTGTGAAGTTTTCTGATTTACATGTTTGTATTAAAGATCGGGCGCGCTAGTGAACACTAGTAACGAAGTTCTCGCGTCTTTAGGTACACATAGTTTCAGTCTTCAGGTGGTATCCCATGATGCCCAAGTCAACCGTGAAATTTGAGTGTGGGTGTATTAAAAATCAATTTTGAGAATATCTCGCAACACAAACAGAAACAATACTATGACTTCCCGTTGTAAATCTTCCCTACTCATCATCTCCATTTATATTAGAGAGATGATCTTCAAGTGTATGGTGAATCTCAGGAAGCGAAACGGAGTCCTTCCGTTTAATTTCACCAATCGAATTCAACCGTTCTTTTCCTCTTAGCTTTGTAAATTATTAGACCCCCGATTTAATTTCCTCCGTCATCTCCTCCTTCTTCAAACAATTTCCTAATCATGAGATTGTCGTTCTGTCTTTTTCCTCATTCTTAATTTTCAGAAAGATTAAATTATAAAAAATTGTGAAAAGACATGAATTTTATAGAAATGTGACAAAGTGCTTACATAATTTCTTATTCCGTTTAGCACCTCCATAAGCATTCACTTGAACATACACCCACACACCAGGGGTTAGACAAAAGTAAAATAACTGCTATAGATTCTATAGGTATTTGCATCTTCTCACATATGTGGACAAGCTTTTGTACTCATATCTAACCTCATTCCTAAGTGGCTAAAATGTGTCCGTACGTTTAAGATCTAGTTGCTCTTGTTATGCTTCAGTTCCTGGCATTGTGCTTTCCAATGAAGATCTGATATTCTTGGAAAGAAAAGGACTATAGTAGAGATTGGTCTGGAAGGCACATAGATGGCTGAGATACTAATAGCAGCAGTTTATACAATGATGTTAGCATGGACTGTAATTGGTTAAACTTCAAGTGCAAAGAGCAAGAAAACATGTGATCAGGGCTAGTGCAACGAGAAACGAAATAAGAAGATAACCAAAAGATATTCACTTATGGACGCCAGGAACCACAGTGAGGGCGAGTTCATTCATCTGTGGTATCATGATAAAGCAAGCTATACGTGTCTCTAAGAACCTTACAATTTGAAATAAAATGAAACAATTAACAAAAGGTGAGGATCTGCGAACAAAGAGAAAAGGTGACGTGTGTACATGAAGAGACAATTTAAGGAAGAGTACTTTACAATGACTTTATTCCAAATGCTTACTTTCTGTCTTTGGACAACAAAATAAAACGATTTTGATGATGCCAGATCCCCCCATGTCTATAGGAGTAGGGGAGGGTTTCCACTCCCTAAAGAACTGCACGGGCAAATGGGATTATATCTGTATGAATGGTTTAAAAAACAAAAAACAAAAAACAGATGGTCTGAACTCTTCCATTTTGAGCATGTATAGGTGTTTGCCGACAGGGCTCGGGATTTTTCCTTCCTCGTCCACGTGGTGGTACAACACCAAGGGCAACATCCCGGGAGCATAGGTTCCTCCTATGATACGGCGCTTTTATCACCCTGGAAATCATGTCTTTGAAGATTCACACACGAAAAGATGCAAGTTGAATGGTATTGCATGAAAAGGTCTTCAGTCAGCTATCCCGACCTGCAAAATTGGCACATTTTTGTCCACTCAAATCGTTATAATGTACTCTTAGAACCAAAATTTGACTCTGTTATATACTCCATCATCATGGCAGAAGAGAAAAAGACGTTTCTGATTACTAAGGGGTGATGTCAATATCCTGTTAAAATCTTCCAACATTTTTTTTTTTGCTTGTCTGTTAATTCAAAACCAGTATTCTCCAGAAGGTTCACAGTGAATAAACCACATATTAAGTTTGTCTTTTCTTTTAGAACAAGCCATTCTCTTTATATTCAACAAATCTGTACAAGTTACTAAGCTGGAGTTTGAAGAAACTATAAGCAAAATGATTAATTAGTTAAACGATTTTAAGTGAACTTTCTACATCACAATGTTAACTATATTTACCCTTAACCCCTCTGCTTTTTGTTTTATTTGCTTTGTATTTAGGATATGTACAGATTCAAATGCAAGGACCAAAATTACTAGCTTGACTTCTTTCGCTAAGTTTTATTGATCAAGATGAAACTCTTTATACATTCTTGTATGATGAAAATTAATGATTTAAAAATGATAATACAGACTAACCATTCAACACTGCAATCCTCCCAAGCTAATTTGTATGTTTGAAGAAAAATGCTACATAATTTAAGAAGAAGGGTGTTCCCATAGCGAAATTGTTAAATAATTAGAGTCCTAAATACGTAAAATTTTGAAGAAAGAAATCTTCAGTGTTTTTCATGGAAACACAAAAATTAGTGTTTAGAGCAGCAGTGGACGCCAGTTCAAATCCACAGTAATTCTTCCATCCATAACGTGGAGGATAAAGTTACAAAAGAAAACTTATGAACCAAAAGGTCCTTGAGATGAAGATGAGCGTATCTTCTGATACTGTTAACAACAAAGAATTTAAAACTAACGAAAGTTCACATGCTTCCAGCCACATTTTAAAATAAAAGGCAATTTTAATGTGAAGTATGGCTAAAGAAACTGTAACTACAGCAATTCCATTTGGCCACGTCCTTGTCAAGTCCCTCAGTGCAGTTCTAATGGACTTTTGTTTTTGGTTTTCTCAAATATGGTTTTGAAAGCTGATGTCTAGGTACAGTGAAAGGTCCGTAAAAACCCTTTCAAAATTAACGATCTGAGACTGACCTCTGCTGAAACTTGCTACAATGAAAATTATGGCAGCGGACAGTAGTGCATAATCATGGTCAACAGGATGAATGCAGTTGGGGATAGAAGAAACATTTCCAACTTCAGAGGGCAGCACGTACTCATTCTTACAAAGCAAGATTAACTCTCAGTAATTCGAAACAAAATACAAATAAACTTTTAAACACACTTACCGAAAATGCAAAAGTTAAAACACGTTTCCAAGATGAGAAATTTAGTTACTGTCGATAGATATGTATTAAAGTGTATATGTAAAGAAAAGTAACTACAAGCCACACAGATTGTAGGGGGAAATTACAATTAATTTTCTTACTGTTACTTAAAAGAGTTATAAAAGTAATTAATTATTCTCTTCCTAGATATCCTCTATTTTACTCAAAGATTTCCCAGACCAGCAAGTCAACGACGATAACCATAAAAAAAATACTTTCGATCAAATAATGGCAAAAATTTTCTAAGTCATATTTTTAATCTAATTCAATCCACTGATACATTTCCTATAATTAAGATATTTTTTAACCTCATATTGTTGAGTTTCTAAAAGTTAAGATGGCGAACCCAAGAAATGCAAGAGTGGTCCACATTAATGTTTTTGCTGGTCACAATAATTTTTTTTATCGCTGACAAGTAAGTGTGTGCGTTTGTCATAACAATAACAGTTTTTAGTAAATATATGGATATCTTATATGGATATCTAATGAGAATAAAAATCAGTTTCGCATAGTTCAGTACCTGCAACTCATTTTTCCTGAACATAACATTAGACAGGTAACTTACTGCTGTATTAAACCTCTTTAAGGTAACAAATGTAGTTCAACGTTTTCTCTAGGTTACATATTTGTGAGTCCTAGGGCAGAAGTCACTGGTGAGGGAAACCAGGAGCATAGTTTCGTTTACATTTCAAACTTTGGTCCCTATAAGTCTCGGGATCACAGACCCTATTTTATAACTACTTCAGCTG